CTGTAATCCCAGCACTTTGAGAGGCTGAGGTAGGCAGATCACCTGAGGTCGGGAGTTCAAGGCCAGCCTGATCAACACAGAGAAACCTCGCCTCTACTAAAAACACAAAATTAGCTAGGCATGGTGGCGCATGCCTGTAATCCCAGTTACTCAGGAGGCTGAGGCAGAAGAATGGCTTGAACCTGGGAGGTGGAGGTTGTGGTGACCCAAGATCGTGCAATTGCACTCCAGCCTGGGCAACAAGAGCAAAACTCCATCTCAAAAAAAAAAAAAAAAAAATACAAATACAAAAATTAGCCAGGCATGGTTGTGCACTCTTGTAGTCCTAACTACTTGGGAGGCTGAAGTATGATAATCACTTGAACCTAGGAGGCAGAGGTTGCAGGGAGCTGAGATCATGCCACTGCACTCCAGCCTGGGTGACAGATGGAGACTCAAAAAGAAAAAGAAAGAGAGAGAGAGGAGAGAAAGAGGGAAGGAAGGAGGGAAGGAAGGAAGGAAGGAAGGAAGGAAAATATAAAAGAACTGTTCAGATAAGAGCCTTTCCATGTGCATTGAAAAAGCTCTATTTTAGCCACCAGGCCCACCCGCCGCAAGCCTAACCCCTTCTCTCCTTCCTACTAAAAGAAGCCCTCCCTACCCAATACAAACCAGCCCTGTCTCCATGGTACCTGTTCTCTGAGCTCCACCACTGCAGCCTCCAGTCGCCCCAGCCGCTCTCGCAGGGAGTGCCACTGCTCCTGGGAGTTCCCAGCAGGGGCTGAGAAGCGGACAGGTGTCTGCTGCCCAGGGGGCTCCCTGGGGACGGCCCCACCTGAAGGGCACAAGAATCCCATGAGGGCCTGAGGGTGAGGGGCTGCCCTGGCCACGTTTCCTGGGTTCTGTCTTCTGACCCGCACGGGAAGGGGGTCATCCTGTGCACCCCACCCTGTCCACTTGCCCACCCACCATCCAGGGAAGGAGACTGGCCTGTGAGGGTTGGGGAGTGAAAGCTGGAGGCCACGGTCTGGAGTAAGGGGGAGGACTCTGAGTGGACAGATGTGGTCCAGACCAGTTTCCCCCGATTGTCTGGGGTTGGGCCCCAGGGCCCCTGACCCCCCAAGGACAAAGAGCAGTATCTAGAGTAGAGCCTCCCTGCAGCCTGCCCCAGCTCTGTGATGTCCCCAGCCATGGTGGGTGTGTCAGGATCATCCCGCTTCTCCTGGGCCAGGGGCTTGGTCAGGGATGGCTGGGGAGCAGACATGTCATGCCTCAAGGGCCCAGAATCCAGTATAGGCTGAAACACACTGGGAGGCCACAGACACATACCAGGCGGGGCTGCTTTCAGGGGCCTGGGGGGTCTGGCTGAGTCTTTTCAAGGGAGCATATGGGTAGTCCCCCGACCCCTGACTCTGTCTACACCTGTCAGAAAGGCCACCACTTTTGGAGAACGTGCTCAGGAAAAGACACATTCCTTTCCTGCTCCCCCTGCTCTGTCCCCAACCCTGGGTACAGTTTTCCAGGTTTGCGACAGGGGGTCCCGGGGGCCCCCTCATTGGGTGGGGTGGGCTCCAGAAAGTGGGACTTGGTTGAATTTCCTGAAGGGGTTGAGGAAGGTGCTGGCAAGGCCCCTACTAGCTGTGAACACACCAGATCCAGTGAAAACAGCCTGCCCCTGCTTCTAGAAGACACTGTCTGGGAAAGGGGGATGGGGCACCCCTGAGTCTGGCTTGGGGTTGGAGATGGCCACTTTCACCTTTTCACTGTGATCCTTTTCCTGCAGCCGGGAAAGTAAAGGCAGGAGGGGAAGAGGCAGACATGGGTCCCTCCTCCAGGCAGGTGAAGTGGAGAGTCTCCACGGGGAGGTAAGAGGAACCGCGAGAGGAGGAGGGAGAGGGCTGGGTCTTTCTCAGCATGGCAGCTCATTAGTGAGGCCAGGCCTGGAGTGGCTGAAAAGGGTTTCTCACAGCCACTAGGTCTGTGAGACAGGGGAACAATGTCACCCGCTGCCACCATCAAGGGTGGAGGGAACTCGAGGCTAAAATTCAACTTGCTTTGTCCCAAGTTCCCTGGCTTGGTTAACGCCATCCCACTTACCAGTTACCTAAGCCAGAAAGCTGGGGCTCAGCTCCCCTGTTTTGTTGCCGGAGTTGCCCCCTAATCCATCCCCACTTCTCCCCTCTCCAAGGTCTCCACTCAGAAGGCTGAAGACAAAGCGTCCTTGCCTCCACCTTTCTGAATCACACAGCTGAAGGCCCCCAGGAGTAAGTCCCACTGAAACCGATCACAAGCACCGCCCACCTTTCTCGCCCTCCTGCTGCCCGCCCACATCAGGGGTTCTAACTCTGGCCCCACACCCTGAGCGGAAGGATACTGGCTCCCAATCCCCAGGTGCTTGTTCCAATCTCCATCCCTCTACTGGGCATCCTGTCACCCGGAATGGCACTCGGTCTCAGTCCTTCCCAAGGACACAGAGGGCGGCCAGGATGGGCGTCTCAGCATCTGAAACCTTCCACCCAATCTACTCTCCCTCACCCTGCTGCCCCAGGGCCCTCCTCCCAGGCCACTCCTCCAGTCCTGCTTAAACAGGAGCCCGGGAGAAGCTGGATCCTCCGGGACTCCTCGGTGAAGCTAGGGGCCGGCCTTGCCTGGAAAGACCTGCAGAAAGAGCTCCGAGTGGCACAAACCCTGCTGCTCCCCAAGGAACTGTCCCCGGCTCCTTTCTCAGCCACACCTGGCCCCACGCCAGCACCGAGCCCTCCATTCCCGCCTGTCCCGCCCCGGGGAGGGCCAGACACAGACTCAAAGTCAGCTGCCACAGCGGGCCTCCTTTCTCCCCCTCCTTTGTCAAATAATTAACTTCAGACTCCCAGATGCCAGGGCAGCCGTGCTCTCTCCCGCTACAGGCCGCAGGAACCCCCCTTTCCTGAACCCCCTGCCTTGGCTCCAGTCTTCCCTACCCTGCTCGCTCCCCCAGCGGGAGGACGGAGAGGACGGGGCTGCCCTGGGAGGCGCGCGAACCTCAAGCAGGGCTAAGAGAAGCAGCCCCGGCCCTGCTCGGCCCCCTCAGGCCGGGCTGTTGAGGGGGCTCACCCAGCCGGACCCCCAGTCTCCCGCGCCCGGACTCACCTCCCGCGCCCGCGCCCGCGGCCAGCGCCAGGCCCCCGAGCTGCAGGAGCAGGGACAGCACAGCCGCCCCGGTCCCGGCCATGCTAGCTCCGCCTGGCTCGCTGGTCGCGGCTCAGAAGGCGCTGGGGGAGGTGGAGTGGGGACACACAGGCCGCTCCCACCCAGGCTTTGTTCAGGGAGGGCTCAAACCCCCACCGCGCGCCTTTCCCATGGACACCTCCATCCGCCCTGGCCCCGGCGGTCTTGACCTCAGAGAGCAGCTCCAGCTGCAGGAAGCCAGCGGGGTTGCAAGCCCTGTCTCCGCTCAAGATCCAGGAGGGAACTCTGAAAAGAAAATAAACTCAAGTCCACCCCTCTAGGGCTCTGCGACAGTCTCCCTGCCCTTTAGGTGACTCCATCGCCTGCGGTTCCCAGATTGATTTTTCCTGTCTCGCAAGTTTACAGGAGAAGGAGCCTCAGCTGGGTTTAAATCCCTGCTCGGCCAATTCCATGTGGCCTTTGATCACTGACTTCTCTGTGCCTCAATTTTCCTATCTGTGAACTGGGGATCACCATATCTACCTCATAGACTTGCAGTGAGCATTAAGTGAGATTATTTAGTTGGTAGACACATGATAAATGCTCAGTAAATAACAAATAATAACAATAAGCGCTACTCCTCATCTCTGAAATCAAAGACAACCAGTATATTGCTCTCTCCACCTGTAAGTTTCTTTCCTGGACTCCACTCAACACCCCTCCCCACCCCGCAGTCCCAGGCTTGGCCCCAGATGCCAAGACTGCCCTTCAGTGGCTGCTCTCAGCCCATTTCCCACTCCTGAGCTCAGGCCTGGCTGTGAGGTGAGCCTGGGTAGGGGGCAGGGCCGGGCCCTGGCTCAGCAGGCAGAGGGGCCAAAGGGAGGAAGTGAAGACAGCTGTCCACAGGGGCCCTGAGCTGGGAAACTCCTCTGTGCAGCTGGGAAGCAGAGGGTTGGGTCCGGAGCTCACAGGCAAAGAGGGACATTGAGGGCGGAGCTATGAACCCTACCAAAGCTCTCCCTCCCTGCCATAGTAACCAGAAGTCAGAAGCCACCCCTCCCTTGGCCCAGGCAGGACTGAGGTCTCCCCAGCACATTCTCCACAGAGCTTAGGGCTGTAAGTGAGGAGAGGGTAGTTTCTCTGCCCCAGAGTCTGGGCCAGGTCCCGAGTGGGCCTAAGCCTTTGCCGCAGGGGGCAGGGAGGCTGTCATGCCACACTAAGACCTGGCCTCAGCTGGGGTCACAGAGGAAAGCCAGGGCCAGCTGGCCAGAAGAGGACAAGGAAGTGGCCGTGCTATTCCCAGCAGGTTTAAGGAAGGTGACCTCATTTACCAGGTGCCTCTGGAAGGCAAGTCCTCCAGAAGGCTGGGTATCGGAACAGTTCAGAGTGCAGACTGGCAGGGTTGCCAGGGCACACCATGGGGCTCATGCTTTCTGCTGTGGGACCTCTGACAGGTCACTTCACTTTCTGGGGCTGATTTTTCTGAGCTCTGACTGGAGCTCTAACAGCACCCAACTGATGGAATGTTTGTAAGGGTTAATACCACACGGTGCCTGGCACAGAGGTATGAGTGCTTATTACTTTCTTTACAAAGAATGGGGGCACCTCCCTCCCCATTTTACAGAAAGGAATCAGAGTGAATGGGGTGAGTAGCTCTAAACCACACTGGGAGGATGCACAGATCTTCCCTGGCCCCACAGCTGGTCCTTTGTGCCCCGGCCTCTGCCCCTGAGCCTGGTCACAGTCTGCCCTCATGTCACATTCCCGGGGAGGGACACTGTCCTGAAACAGACAAGGCCCTCCAACCCCGGGGGCACGGTGTGGGGGGAGGCTGTAAGACACACGCATGGAATCAGACACTACAAACACCAAGGCAGGTGTTTGTAGTGTCTGATTCCATGCGTGTGTCTGGGTGTGGCGTGTGTGTGTGTGTGTGTGTGTGTGGTGTGTGTGGTGTGTTTGGCTGGAGGTTGGGGCCAAAGCTGGGGAGGCACTTCTGGGATTCAAGGGACCTTGACTTTGAAGGGGCTTCCAGGGACACTTTCTTCGCCCCACTTGACAATGAGGATATAGTCCCCTTTCTCCTTGACGGTGTAGGTGACGTTGTACACCCGGTTCCCCATGTGCTTCACGTACACCTCCTCACAGGGGGTCTTGGGCCCGTGCACACCCACCATCATCATGTTGGTGCCTGGAGAGGGAGGCAGAGGGCCGGGCTCACACCAGGGAGCCCCCGACGGGGACCCACACCCTGCTCCCAGACGGCTTCTTGCTCCCACCCCAGAAGACGCCCTCCCCTTCCACCTGCCTGCTTTGCTGCAGTCCACGGTGAAGGAGTTCTTCTGGCCCACGAAAGCCTGGGACAGCCCCGGCCCCCGAGTCACCACCTTGCTGGCGTCCGAGGAGAACTTGGGGGTGGAGCTGTAGCTGGAGCCCCGGCTTGACGAAGACTTGGTCACAGTCTCCACCAGAACTGTGGACGTCTCGTGAAGGCTGTGGCCTCCGGACAGCCTCGGACCTGCGGGGCGGGTGGACGGGCACAAACCTGGTCAGAAGGGCTTCCTGGTGTTCCCCAGGCAGGGGACCCTCAGCCAGTGCTGCTACCCGGTAGGACTCACTGCCTGCATCCGGGGCTCCCCCAGATTCCTCCAAGGGCCACTCTAGGAGCCCAGCCCCATTCCCTGCCAGGGCTGGAGCCGCCTGTCCCAATTCATGCTTCACCCTAGGGCTGGGGCCTGGGAGGGCTGCGTCCCTCATCCCGGCAGGCTTTGTCAGGAGCTCAGGCCAAGTCACAGGGTATGAGTCCCTTTGCAAAGGAACACCCACCCAACCCATCCTATAGACAGCCCCGGGAAGGGGAGCTTGCTCAGTACTGACTGTGTCTTCTTGGAGCCGAGGAATTTGGGAAGCCAGGAGGGAAGAAAGGGACTCGAGAGCCTCAGGAGCCAGTGAAGGCCAGAGATGAAGGAGGGAGGGCCGAGATGGGAGGAAGAATGGGATATGTACAGGGCCACGCGAGGCTCCACAGAGTGTGTGCTGTGTGGAGCCAGGCCCACCTCTATCCCTGGTAACTGACTGTGATGTCCAGGGCAGACTGTGGCCTAAATGTGTGTGGCCACCGGAGCCCTCCAGGCTGGGCTGGGCTGCAGGCTGGGTGGGCCTCCCCTGAGCTGGCATTCACCTGTGATCCCCAGCTGCCCATGATGTGCTGGGGGACACTGTACTTGATGGCAATGAGGTAGTTGCCAGGGGCCATGGGAGTGTAAGTGACCACATGGTCCTCAGGACACTCCCGACAGTCCAGCTGCACCTTGGAGGGGCCATCAATGGTGACGGACAAGGCCCCGGAGCCAGCGTTCAGGGTGTTCACGATGAACTCTGATGACACACCTGGGGGCCAGAGGTATTGAGGCTGAGGGCAGGAGGAGCTTGTGGCCCAAGAGGGGCCGGGCCCCAGCTCTCTGGGTAGCCTCTGTGGGGAGCTGTCACTGCCCCACACCCAGGCTGGCCCTTGCCTGCCAGCCCAGCCTGCGGGCAGGAGGAACCAGGGTCTGGTGTGCAATCCTTAGTGCATACCTGCTCTGAGGGGTACCAGCCTAGCTGTTTTGGGTATCAGGCAAATGAGAGATGATGTGCCCTGTCCTGGCTGAGGAAGGCAGGGCCCCACACTGGGAAGGCAAGTGCCTGGTGGGTTGTGTCAGCTGTGGGCACATGAGCACTCAGATATGGGAAGCTGAGCATGGCTGGACTGACCCAGGAGGGCTTTGGGGAGGAGGTGGGTCAACAGGGAGGACTGGAGGGCTCTAGGGGAAGGGGAGATGAACATGTTGGGGGAGCCTCAGAACCGGAGTAGGAGGAGGCGATTCACAAGGGCTCCTGATGGGCTGAGAAAATCTCACAGCCAATCCCAGGACCCCACTGGAGTCCTAGGAGACAGTTCCCTCACCCCAGGAGCTGCAAGGCTTGGGCACCAGGGGGCCAGTCGGGGAGGAAGTGCCACTGCATTCCTCATAAGAGTGGCCAGACAGCAGGCTCCCTGCTGCGCCCAGGGTTGGTCTGGGTCACATGTTTCCCTGCACAGCTCAGGGAGTGGAAGAAGGTTTCACTGCACTGGGCCCGATCCTAAATCTCACCCCTCTGGGTGAGCTGCCCACACCCTGGGCCCTGCTGTTCGGCCTGGTCCAGACAGACTGAGGCTCTGGGCAGCAGGTGCCCAGGAAGAAGCTTCTTTCTGTTTCCTCCCAGGGGCATGGTGGGGGAAGACCAGGGTACAGGGGAAAACCCCAAAGTAGGGCCTTTAGATAAAAAGAGGTGATTTCCCAGTGCCTCCCTAGACTCTTGGAGCCCCTCAGCCCCAGCACCCCGGCCCGACAGCTGCCGGGTAGGGGGAGGGTGAAGGTAGGGGGAGGGGAGGTCTTGCCAGTTTTATCTAGGGACACAGCGGGTGCCCTTTCAGCCTTGGTGACTAAGTCCTCAGAGAGCCCAAGCCCAAGCCCAGCCCAGTCCTCCACCCCCTGCTCCTCCTTCCCCTCCGCCCCCACCCCTTCTGCAGGCTTCGGTGGGGCACACCCCCTGGGCCAGCCCGCGGAGCCATCCCCACCCCCAGGGTCGGCCTCTGGACAGCTCCTCCTGCTGGTGGAGGAGCAGCACCCCGGTCCTCACCCTGCAGTGCCCAGCCTGGCTGCGAGACTGGGAACGTTCCCCCACGCCTGCCTCTGCTCCCGGTACCTGCTCTCGCCCCTCCTGGGGTCCCGAGACAACCACGCAGGGTCTGCAAGGGTCCTGCTCATGTGCCCCCCAATCCCCGACACGCTAGTCTCACTTTTCCTCTACTTTTAGCCTCCTGATTGTTGCCTTCTTAAGTTCTGGAACAGGACCTACAGAAACTAGCCCAGGAACTATTGCGCCCCATTCTTCTCTGCTGCTGGGGTGGGGGGCAGAGTCTGCCATTCTTGGCCGGGAGCCCAGGAACGGCGCCTCTACCCGACACCGTCTTCCCCCAGATTCTAGCACAGTTCCTGCCACTGGCCCGAAGATCCCGGGGGATGAACGCTTTAAACCTCAACCTCTTTTCCAAAAGGGTGAGGGTGGTCCGGGAAGGGCGAGGGCGAGTGCATTGAGTAGGGATCTCGGTGGCCCAAGCCAGCCTCCTGCGGGGCGCCCGAAGCCCCCATTCTGCACGATGTCGAAGGGGAGGGAGAGCAGCAGAGCCGGTGCCCCCTGCAGCAGTACCAACTCCCCCGCGTAGGCCTCGGGGCTCCCCGAGCGCCAGCCCCGATCGGGAAGTGGGAGACGCCTTGGAGGTCCCAGGCTGGCGGGGCGCGCGCCCTTCTGTAGGCACCCACCCGAGCTCGATCTCCAGGCGCAGCTGGACGCGGACGCCGCCATACTCCAGTCCTCATCCTGCCGCCCACAGGTGCCTGGGGGGCGCAGGGCCCAGCCGAGCGCCGGACTTGGGGGTGGGCAGTAGCCGGTACCCGCTCCTGCCACCCTCAGGGCACTCCGGGCGGGGACGCAGAGAGGAGCGCGCGGCAGCCGGGACCCACCTGTCTGCGGTGCGCCTGCGTGGCTGCTCCCGGGAGCACCGGCCGGGCGGCAGGGCCAAGCTGAGCTCTGCCGGGCTGCGCTGGGGTCTTGCGCATCGCGCCGACCCCGCCGGAGGGACCACTCATTGCGGCCTGCACTTATCGGAGACTGCGGACCTGGACTAAGCATTAGGCCAGGCCCAGGGCCTGTGAGGAGACGCCAGATAGACAGCGCAGTGCCCTACACGACCACTGGACTCCCTTGGCAGTCTGGAACAGGACCATGGTAATTCCATAACCCCAAATTCCTCCCGCGCCCTCCACTCTTGATTCCCTGCCAGCTCTGCAGGTCCTCCGGTCTTCACCAGCCCACACCTTTGGTGAGCTCTGGCAGCTGAAAGAGATGGTTTCCCAGGTCAAGAGGGTTAGGATGCCAGGTGGTGGCTCGTGCCTGTAATCCCAACTCTTTGGGAAGATCAGGCAGGAGGATCGCTTGAGTCCAGAAGTTGGCCAGCTTGGGCAACATGAGACCCAGTCTCTACAAAGGAAATAAAAAGAAATTAGCCGGGCGTGGTGGTGAGCACCTGTAGTCCAAGCTACTCTGAAGGCTGAGGTGGGGGGATCACTTGAAATGGGAAGGTCGAGGCTGCAGTGAGCTGTGATGGAGCCACTGTATTCTAGCCTGGGCAATACATTGAGAACCTGTCTCAAACAAAACAAAACAAAAACAAAAAGCCATCAAGAGACGACTCGGGTGCAATGGAGCCGGCACTGTGGTGAGCATCCGACTGTCCAGGACCAGGGGAGCCCTGTGAAAAGGAGGCAGGCAGTAGAAGCCTTTATCCATTGGGACTGGGAGGCCCCCAGGGCATTAGCTGCTCCCAGTTATGCAGCCACCAGTGCCCACGTGGGTTCCCGAGGGTAGCCAATGCTGGGCATCAGAGAAATTCCGACATGAGAGAGGTAGATTTGCAGCCAGGACCTGAGGAGGGATGCTGGCAGGATGCACTGCGTGGAGCTGCTGGCAACTGCATGTGACTGGAATGAGGCATTGCTGACAGGGTTTGTGCAAGAGGTGGCCAGCACAGATGTTAAATGAGATAATACACACAGAAAACTTCTGACAGCGCCCAGCACATTTTAAGCACCACAATCTATTATCTTTATTGTCATCATCATCGTCTCCCTCTGAGGTCCAAACTGAAAAGTCCATATGAACATTTTTTTTTAATCTGCAACAGAAGGTAAAGAAGCTTCCAGAAAACTCACTGAAAAAAACCCTATGAAGTGAAAGCCTGGGGCCCTAAGGAAAGGGTGCTGTTTGCAAGGCATTTGAGTTCTGCAGTTGAGTGCGATCACTGTTCGCCTCTTGGTTGGGTGCAGGCCCTGTGGTCAATGCAGGGGTACAGTGGTGAATGAGGCAGGGTCCTGCCCAGAACCTTCTGAGAAATGAGACTGTTGGTAAAGAGAACAGCATGAGCACCGGACTCAGGTGCACACAAATGTCAGGCTTGGAATATGTGTCTGGCCTGTTTCCCTGCTGGGCGATGGCAGGGGAAGGGGGAGGGGCCTGGATGCAGTCTTTCCAACCAGAAACAGCTCTTTCTTTAGAAGAAGAGGATTGGCTAGAGAAAGCAGGAAGGAATGGCTTGGGCCCTGGCTTGAGTCCCCGCTTGGCTGGAAGCCCCTATGTGGGGACACCGCTGGTTCCCTTACCATGATGCGTGGGCCCCTGGAAGGCAGATGGCCACAGCAGCAGCGTATGATGCTAAGTTGGGCGACGATCAGAGTCAGTGAGTTCCAAGTTCAATTCCTGAGTCCCCACTTATTGACTGCGCTGAGTGGCCTCTATTTCTCCCTCCTCTCCTTCTCTGTCACTTATTCCCTGTCCCCTACAGATGCCATCACTCTGGGCTTTCATGCCTTCTGCTTTCCTGGTGGTTCCGCCAATGAGAGGCCCCAGTAGGGGATGAGTGGGCAGGAGGGGAGAATGGTTGGGGTATTTCCTCCCTGGCTTCCTCCTGGGCTCTGCCTGGGCTCCCGAGGAATAGTGTAACTATTCCTTCCCCTTGTCCCCTCGGAGGTGGCAGTGGTTTCCTGCTACTGCTAGTCCCTGGGGGCCTCGACATTCCTCGCTGGTCCTCATAACCACGTCTGCAGATCTGCGAACAGTTCCTTTACATTCTGTTTGGCCAAATCCTTTTGGGGGAATTTTGTTTCCTCCTGGTTCGT